TGTTCCCCGCCTACAACCCCCTGGTTGCGCTCTTCACTGCAAGCTACGCCTTCACTGGTGCCGGGGTTCCCATGCCACTGGGGTTCCCCTTCGAAAACTGCGCCCTTACTGGTGCTAGGGCCCCCATGCCACCGTGGGTCCCTTTACGAGGCCTCCTCCAACCCCTATAGCCTCACCCAAACCACGCTCATTACCGCAAGCTGCGCTTTCACTGGCGCCAGGGTTCTCATACCACTGGGGTTCCCCCTGAGAAACCTGCGCCCTCACTGGCGCTAGGGCTCCACCCTCTGTGGGTCCCTATGAGGTTCAGCTGCTCCTCTCTGAGCTTAACTGACCCCACGACTCTGCCCTGCAACTCTCAGGGCCTAGTGCGCCCTCACTGGTGCTGGGGTCCTCACTTTACCGTGAGTCCCCTATGAGGCCTCCTCCAACCCCTACAGCCTCGCCCAAACCACCGGTGTAATATCAAAGCCTGAACATAAACTCGAGCCTCCTGGCTATAACTCCATATCATTGCTCCAGCCTCTGGAGCTCTCGCGAGCTATACTTGCTGTTAGGCTTGTCCTCCCCTCCTAACTGCAGGAGCCCAAGCCCCTGCCCCTCTGGCTATTGGCAAGGAACTACCAGCTTGGCCTCAGCCCTGGCCTTTATAAGGGCCAGGCCCTGCCCCCTTCTGGCCAGCTGACTCACATTAGTTGCCCTGGCAACCCACAGCTGTGCTCGTTATGGTCTGCCAGGGCTCTCTCTCCCTGGCAGTTTCTCCTCTCTAGGAGCAGGAGCACCGAGGTGCCCTGCGACAATGTTATATTATTTCTTTGTGGAGAATACGCTATAAGCCAGGAATGTAAAGTCCTTGAGAACTTCAGGCACTTTTACACGTGCTCTGGAGGTGGGGGAGGGGGCAATTTAATTATAGCAGCTCCAAGAGCCACTCTAATTAAAGTGCCCCAGCATCTTATGCATTAATATCCCCCTGCTTCAGAATGGCAGAGGGGGCATGGTGAACTAAAGCTTGTTTGATGAGGTTTAGTTCAAACAGCCCTGTCACCATTTTAAAGCACAGGGATGCTAATATACGAGATATGGAGGCTGACTGGAGCACAGTAATTACCAAGCTCCAGCAGACTCAATTATTCAAGTGTAATTGCAGCGCGCTGGAGCAGCCCCGCAGCATGTCTACAGGCACCCTTCTAGTATTCTGTGTCCGTGACAGGGAAACAGGAAAAGCAACTGCTCCTGGATACCTCTACTCTGGTTTCAGGTCTTATTACTCTATAAACAACAAAGAATAAACAGATAAGTTCCTGCTGTGGTCACCCCTTGGCAGAAAACTGCTCCCTTCTTCACAGAGGCTTCTGGCAAAACTCGACTCTAGCCCTCAGCTGCCACAAGCCTTACCCACAACTTGGATAATAAAACCAGGAGTTACAGCTTAGTATTCTTGTAAGGGTGGATCTCAGGAACCCAGCCACAGCACTCAGCATACATTATTATAAATAATAGTACCTACAATATTAACATATATGTGACCCAAATATTATACTTGGTTCCACAATAATTGCTATTAGCAGCTTATAAACAACAAAGAGTGAACAGATAACCTTCTTGCTGTGGTCAGTGGCAGAAAGCTTCCAGAAAGCTGCTCCCCTTTTCATGGAGGCTTCCAGTAGAACTGAGCATATCTTTCTCCCCTGTACTTATAGGAGCTGTTTGCTGGAAATGTGTGGTATACCCAATGAGGCTGTTCAGAATCTGGAGCAAGGATTCCTACAATTACAACACAACCCCAAAACTGTGGTCACTCAAACTTGCAAAGCCAGGCTCAGACTCTGCTCTGACCTACTACAGTACTAATCCTGAGACAAGAACAACAGAGTCTCTCTGGGGGTCAGCTGCAACCCCTGGATTGAACATTATGATATGATACACATATTGATCTCCAACTCCTCCTTCAAAAGAATGACCATCTCAAACTAGTTATGGGGAACAAACCTGTCCTGGCTTACAGACAGCCCCACAACCTAAAACAGCATCTCTCAAGCAATATGCTACCTAACTCAGTCTCAGCAAGACACCAGGCCTTGCAATGGACCCAAATGCCTTCTGTGCCACAACCCCAATACAGACCACATAATCACTGGACCAAATAACATGGATGATAACATACGAGTTTTGTTCACTTGTAACCCGCCAATGTCATATATGCTATCACCTACTTATAGTGCCCCTCTGCTGTCTACTTTGGACAGACTGGATGATTCCTATGCTACAGAATGAATGAACACCACTCTGACATCAGCTGCAGAAAGACACTCCAGTCTGTGGCAGAACACTTTAACCTCCCTGGACACTCCATTGCTGATCTGAGGGTAGCTGTTCTCAGACAGTAAACTTTTAAAAACTAATTTGAATGGGAAATTGCAGCATAAGAAATTATCTACAGACTGGTTTGTGTTAAGCATAGCTTAAATAGATACTATGGCTAGGGATAGACATTCAAAAAGCCTGGGCCTGAATTGATTCAATCATTGCAGGTTAGTCTAACCTGGTTAGGCTAAATCAGTTTTGTAATTGAACAAACACCCCAGAAATGCAGGCACATACCTGAAGTGGCTGAGGCTAGAAGCCGCAGGGCGCTAGAGCAGCCCTCCCTTCCACAGCATGGAACTGAGGGGGGTCTGGCCAGGCTCCGGCAGGAGCTCTGATTATCCTGCTAGGGAATTGATAACACCGTTTATCACCCCATTAAGAAAACAACAGAGGGACATTACCAGCTACTTGTTGGTTCTGCCTGTTGAGTCTACCTGTTGATTCAGGACAGACCATAGCCAGCATGTGGTCTGCTAGCTACACAGACAACTCCTCAGCAAGACAGAGGGGAAGGGGGAATTCCTGTTTACCAAGGAGTGGTGAGGGGAGGAGAGAAGCAGCCTGCAGTCTCTGGAGCTCCAGCCAGGGAGCAGAGGGGAGGAGCAGAGAGCACCTGCTGTGGAGCAGAGATCTCCGCCCAGCCCAAAGAGCATGCCGGGATGCAAGGGGTGTCTGATTTATCTTAAACCAGCAAGGGGTCTGGGACAGACGTATAAACCGGTTTCATAGTTTCATAGTTTCATAGTTTCAGGGTCGGAAGGGACCTACTAGATCTTCTAGCCCGACCCCCCGCCAGGGCGGGAGAACAACCCAAAAAACACAAACAAAACCACTCACCCTAAAAACAAAAATGGGACTCAAATGAGTCCAGCCAGGGAAGTATCCAGCCTCTTCTTAAAGATCCCCAGGGTAGGGGCCAGCACCACCTCCCTTGGAAGGTGGTTCCAGCTCCTAGCCGCCCTGACTGTGAAGTAGTTTGCCCCAAATCAGTTAAGTCTGATATTACATTCAACCAGGTTTATCTTAAACCAATTTCTGCCATTTTCAAGCCAGTTTATGTGCACTGAACATCTGTTCTGTTACAGGTTTAAACCAGTTTCTGATCACTTAAACAGGTTTATGTGTAATGTCTATTCCTAGCCCATGGATTCATATCCCATTACCTGGGTTAACTTTGATGACTCCTTTGTTCTTAAGAGCTTAACGTCTGTTTGCTTGTCTCTCCCAGCATTGCCCCCATCTCCCTCTCCTGCCTATATCTGCCTTTTCCCCCTGCTTGTCTTTTGTATTCTAATATGTATCCTTCTTATACTCTGCTTTCTGCACATCCTTTCACAGCATCTGATGAAGTAATCTACAGCTCATGAAAGCGTGTGCGATAGATAGATAGATAGATAGATAGATAGATACTTTGGTTAGTCTATAAGGTGCAAATCTACTCTGCCATCTACTTGACTTCAGACTAACATGGCTAACTATGTCTCCCTACATCCATCATGGCTGCCAGCTATCACCATTTCTACACTGAGCATGCTTAAGAGGGTCTCACTGCTCATCATTCCACTGGGCATGCTCAGGTTGCATTTTTAAATGTTCCCTCCAACAGTATGGGGTTGGGGTAGGCATGGATTATGTTTAGAAATATAGGTAGCTGTTAGGATTTGCCTAAATGCCTAAGCAGGTTAGGCACATAATTCATTGAGGTCAAATCTGGGTGAGGTTTATCCAACACCTAATTAATGTTGTTAATCTGAATCTGGGTGCCTTCTGGACAATGGACTTTTAAAATATGTTAGTGGGAGCATCTACACGTGAAATTAATGTGATGCAATAAACTTTGGTACATATTGCACTGGAGTTTATTGCTGCCAGGCACTGTGTTTACATGTTCACCTGGGACCGCATTGGAGCAGCCCCAGCTAGTAGGGGTGAGGAGGACAGCCTGCCAGCCTGGGGCTGCTCTGACCCTGCTCAACATGCTGCAGAGGGGCTGGCTGGGGCACAAGGGTGCTTCAGGGCAAGGCTAGCCAGCAGGCATCCCTGCACTGAAGCACCTTCATGCCCCAACCAGCCCCATCAGCATATACACATGCCTTGCTGCACGCTGAAGAATGCCGTAATAGGATAGCACTTGTGTTTACAAGTACTAACCTACAGCAGAGTTAATTGGTTTCCTGTGGCCTAACAGAGCTACAGCAGGCATGTGTAACTACTGAAACTTCACTGCAGAGCTAATTAGGCAGTTAAATACTGGCTACATCTACACAATAAATGTGTAGATGTAGCCAGTATTTATTATCTAACGTGTTAATATTACACTTTAAATCCTGCATTGGACAAAGTTTGAGAAACAGAAACAGGCAGCATTTGTAGGACAGAGCGCAGGAAAACTGCATCAGCAAAATTGCTTTTGATGGGTTAGTGACATTGCTAAAATGCTGTTGACTTGCTAATCGCTGCTGTTGATTGGCTGTCTCTGCATACTCTCAGGTGGTGTTTTATGGGACATCCTTTGATTTCAGTATGATCATAAGGAATAAATAAAACTAGCTGTCAGGTCCTAACTGCAGTTAACAGAATACTGAAGGGGAAGCCAGTCCAGAAATGGAGAGAGGATCCCATAGCGCAAAATGAAGGCAAGAACAACTACTGCTGGGGGAAGTGTCTAATTTTTCACAAGCTTCATAAATGGTATACCTGTCTGAGCACAGTCCTACAGCATAGGAAAATATGGGCCAAATTTTCAGCCATGCTACAGCCATTTTGCATCCATCTAATGCAGTAGTTGTCAACATTTTTAGACTCAAGGCACCCCTTATAAAATGCTAGCTCTTAGTTTACACTTGTTCTTTTTTAATATTTTTTGAGTATGGAAAAATAATATAGTCTTGCTTTTGCAAAGAATTCAGAAAGACCACTGTGGTTCAGAGTGTTTTTAACACCATGGATTTCTATTTGAAATCTCTGGATTTATCTTGTGAATCATGTTTGCATACCTAACAGTACTAACATTGCTGGGCACCCTTGAAAGAATCTCAAGGCATCCCTCCATGGCACCCTCATTGAGAATCACTGGTTTAATGGCTAAAAAGAGAGGGGGAGGGAGGGGTTTGTAAACTTGTTGGATCCAGCCAGTGGAGGATTCCTTTCTGTAAAGGCTCCCTTTACATGTTACATGTATCATACAATTACCAGGTTAATTGTGCAATTAATTTAGACCAGCTACTCATGCAAGTTTAACTATTGCACCTTAAAAAGGCCCAGCCAGCTATAAAGTTATTGTTGGAAAGTGTGTAGTAACTTTATAACTGGTTTCTATCCAGCTTTAATTTGCACATATAGCAGGGTTTGTCCCTGTGGGTGTGAGGCCTGTCAGCTAACAGGGCTCCCAGCCACAGGAGTGCAGCACACGTAGCCTGGCCTGGTAGTCCCATAGCTGAGGGGACTCTTAGCCCCATCAGTGCCCCATGGCTATAGACTCTGGGTCTTGGCAGTGCTCTGCTGCTGCTGATAGCAAGAGTCCATCCAGCCGCAGATTCTGGATCCCAGCAGCCATGGGGTGTTGCCATGGCTGCAAGTCCCATCAGCTGGTGTAACTGCAACTTGTAACTGCAGGAGCTTGTTACTTGCTAGTGTAGGGGGAGCCCAGAAACAGCTCTAGACTCAATTTTAATTTTAATCCACCCATACAATGTGAGTGTTCAGGTCTGAATGTTTAATTGGCACCAATTTGAACTTTCATAATCTGATATATTCATCAGACCACTTTTCCAGGACCTGTATTCACCCCAAAGTGTGTGAAGAGGTATGGCAGGGGGGAAAAAACTATAAAATCTTATTTTTAAAAATCACACTTCCTCAAAAAAACAGATATGTGAATATGTAGAGAATTCTGCCACAAAAACTCTTAGATGTGAAGCTGGTAGTGGTGTAGAGTCCACTAGGGTGATGTCACACAAGACACTGTTTTCCTCATATAAACTAGATTTTCCCACATCATCTATGGGAAAATGCAGTCTTCATAGATTTTTTGTGTATACTAGATGTACCTCTACATTTTTTTCAGGGTCCATCTCCATGAACATGGACTAGGAACATAGCTAGCTCCTTTTCTGATTGCTTTTGGCTTCCTAGCTGGCTGGTACATGCACATGAGACATCCAAGAAGAGTAAGTTACACTTCAGCAGTAATAGTGGTGCATTATGGCTCACTGAAAAGGAATTAAGCCAATAAGAAAGATGCACACATTGCAAAGGTTTCCCCTTTGAAGACTTGGTTCCCTCTCTCCTACCTGCTCCATGTGGCCATAGCCCTATATGCATAAAAATAAAGTTATATATTTTATCAGTAGCTACACAGAAGAGCTAGGTCTTGCTGCTTTTTCTTTCAATGTGGGCATCATTCCATCTGCTTCTGTTTTTCTTCTCTGCCTAGCTATGCAGTCAAGGGTAAAGGTCCTTCTGAACCCAGTAATTCATCAAACCAACATGGTTTTGGCACTCCAGTTCCTATAACCAACAGTCTACAATGGAATGATGTGGCTAGAATTGCATCTGAGTCCCTTTGATTCCCCAGCCTGAAAAACTAGATACTCATTTAAAGCTGGGCCAACTGGCTTGGCAGAAGTGTGTTGCAGTACTCCAACTCATGCCTCTGAAGACATAGCAAGACAGGAGACAGGGTTCTGCCACTGTGGTGACCTATACACATGGTCAGAGATGGAGCAGGTGGGGTGGGTTGTTTTAATTAGAGCCATTCCCAGACAACTACTCTAATTAAAACATGTCACCATCACATGTATTAAACCGCTTCACATTTTAAAATGGCTGTGGGATGCTTTATCTAAAGTTCATTTGATGAGGTTTAGATAAAGCGCTCTCACGGCCATTTAAAAATTGTATAGGCAGCCTGTCTCTCTAAGCTCAGAGGTGTAACTGGTTGCTTCAGTGCTTTGGGCAGCAGTTGTGCACAGGACAGCATCAGTGGCTGTGCCACAGCCAGAATAGTTGTATCAGTGCCAGCAGCATGTCTCCTATTCTTTTCACACCCCCACCCAGAGTCAGTGCCTAGGACTGGTGTTGTAACAAGCTTAGATCAGTGCCCAGCTGGTCCCAACTGAATGATCATGACAACCCAACTCCTGAGGCTGCAGAGAAACAGGCCCCACCTGCAGCAAGACCAGATCAGAGCCCTAGGCCTCCTTCTTGGTCCTAACTGGGCAATTAGGGCAATCAATCCTACCTGTCCTGGCCAGCAGTTCAATGTCTAGGGAGATTTTGGAACTTGCTCCTGACCCCTCTGTGCTTCCCTGACTTGCTTTTTGAACTCTGTCTCTAACTATTAGCTCATCCTTGCTTCAGTTCAGGTACCTGGTCTCAACTCCTGGCTTACCGTGACCCTAGTTTTGACTTCTGGCTCCCTCTGACCATAGTCCCTGGACTTTGCCCAATTATCAGGTGATGTTTCCCAACCACCTATGCCCAAGTTCCTAAAAATTTCATACTCTGTAGGCAAAATCTATTCAATACTTTTATGAGTAACTGTTATAGTTCCTCCAAAACAGTTGAAGCTTCAATATGATCTCTTATTTAAATGTGTAATGAAATAAAACAGGAAAAATAGAGGTCTAATTAACTTCTATCCTTGCTAAAGTGAGCTAGAGTGCCTAATATTGTTGGATCCTGTTTGTTGCTACTGTGGGAGGTCTATTCTGTAATTTTGTAAGGGCTTTTCTCACATTAGTAGAAGTTTCTAACTGTAAAAAAAATAAAAATAAATAAAGGTGGGGGGGAAGTAGCATGTAAATGATCTACTATTTTGCCTTGTCTTTATGACCTTGACTTCTCTTACCACCCCTACCAATGGCATATTGTTAATTCATTCCACTGTTTAAAAATGTGATTATATTTTGTTGTGGCTACATGATAATCATAATCACAATCCGCTTTTGTGTTTGCTTTCTAGAAGCATTTGAATGATTGACTTTTACTGGTACAAATGGTCACAGAAAGCAAACTTCAATATCACATGCATGGGTATTCATTGAAACTAAATGTTACATTCTCATGTGTAAATATTTCTGCCAGAAGTATTTGCCTGTTGTTCCAATGAGTGAATAGAAACAATACCTTGTGACTTATCTGTCTTATCACAACAAACCAACCCAACTCAAATATTAAATATTTGCAGATAACCATTCTTGATTAATCTACAGGGTTAAATGTTTAAAGTAATTTCGAATAACAGATGATTCTGAGGAAATTGCAATCTGTTCTCAGATATTCTATTTGTGAAAATGAAACAACATCATCAATTAAATATTCATTGTAAATTATTTGTTTGTCCCAAACTGTAGTAAGTATTAAGATACGGTATTTCTAAACTTATCAAGCATTCAACAAAACTTGTCAGGGAAGGCATGTGTGTGTGCATGCATGTACATACAATATACTTGTATATACATTACACACATGCACAGATATTTTCATTGGTACTATTTCTCCCCATGGAAAAATATTAATGACTTTGGAAGCCAGAGGAGACCATTGAGAAGGAGATGAGTAGATCTGATTCTGAAGTCCTTTCTCTTTTTATTGTTCATTGCCAAGACACTTGTATTTCATATATCTAATGCTGCATAGTCCTTCACAACTGTATTTGCACTTCAGTGAAATGAAAAGAAAAAAACCAGCAAAATATAATCAGAGTCTCTAACTCTTACTCAGATTCAATAAACAATGGTCAAGGAGAAGACAGGCAGTCTGTAGCTATTAATATTTATGCAAAGTATGTCTTAATCTTTTTCAGATGAAGTTCACCTTTGTAGAGGACTATTCCAAGGCGTATGTTCCACCTAAGTCTCAGTTAAGCCCTATTTTGGCAACTGAAGCTATATATGAATATTGCCAGGAGTTTGTGTTGGCCTTCTATATGGAAGAGAATTTATCCAAAGGTGCTGAACCTTAAATTCATAACATTATCTGGGAACTGATCTCATGTACAGTCTTAACTACACAAATAATAAAGCATTGAGACAAATAGGCTTACCAATTTGTGTAAAGATTTGTATCAGATTCCACTTTAAAGCTATTAGAATACAAAAATGCTGAAGTTCTAGATCTACAACAGCATCTATCTATATCTATATAGATATCTATCTAGCTATCTATCTAGATAGATAGATAGATAGATGCTACTATTTTAATAGCTTTAAAGTGGAATCTGATACATATATATATCCCCTACAGCAAAAGTTCTTTAAAAAATGGCCAAGTCATTTTTCTAAATTTCTACGTGAGGGAATGCCATTTGATAGTATAGTAAATAGGGTTTGAGGGTCACTAGCATTTCTTTGCTAGCATTGCTGCTAGTAAAGAAATATATAAGAGTACCCTGAAAAAAGTTCTTCAGTAAGAAAAAAACAAATTATGCACTCTGATGATACATTGAAAACTTTTAGTATGAATGCAACTGAATTTTACTATAACATACAAATTAAAAAACACAACAAAACAGTGCAAACATTTTCATCCTGTGTTTATCTTCATGCTTTACTGGCTGAAAATTGTGTGTTGCCAAGACTAGATATATTTAGATGTGTGTGTATGTATGAGAGAGAGAATATATGCAGGGAGGAGGTGGGGAAGATTTCACCTGGAAATTTGTAAGCATGTGGGGGGGAAACTAAATATAAATAAAGGTTGCAGAGACTGCCAAGTTGGAGATACTCATCCTCTGTGACCTTAGTGGGTGCAAACAGAGGTCAGTCTTACCTCATTGAAATGAATGAGAATTTTGCCATTGACTTCAGCGGGAGCTGGACCAGCCCTTAAAATCCAGAACTTTGAGTGTTGAGGAAACTTTTTTTTAGTTGTTGTAGCTATGTAATCAGTAGGGTTACATACATTTGAGCAGGTCTTGACAGCCTTTTCTATTCAGAATGGGGCATTTTTGCACACTCTTCCCTAGAGGTAGCCAGCTATGTTTATCTGCAGTTGAGCAGGGCAGATTTGCACCTTACAGACTAATCCAAAGATTCTGAATTTTGTGCAGAAGATCAGCACAAGGTCTAAGCACTAGTTACACACTCTTTTGAAGACTTAAGTTGCACTTAAGTGATATGTATGCCTATGCCTGGCTTCCCTTGAACAGAAGAAGTGAATTTCACTCTAGTTAGCTCACATGACATTCTAGATCAGTTGCTGGTCTTTTATTTTCCCAAGCAGTAAAATTAATTAAACTCACTATCACTGAACAAAACAAACAAACAAATACTGACTGGTATTTTGGGATCTGAAATATTCACTGAATAGTTATTTTTACTCTATTCCATCATCTAAGGTTTTTTTAACTTGCGTTATGATGGTAAAAAATTGTAAACCACACTTATGCAGATGCCATTGAAGACTGGAGATGATGACATACAGATTAATTTTTATTTATAAATGTGAGATTCTAGGGACCCACCCAATATATGGGGGTGTGAGATTTGTTATCATTGGAGCTGAACCATTCTAGCAGGACTAGAAAAATATTTTAAGTTAAATATAAGAAATTTCAAGGTATATTTGGCACTAACTGCACTTGCTTCTTTATTCTGTAAGGTGCTGAAAGACATGAAATTCATTGCCTTGAAGGTTTAGTCATTGAGAGGGTAAAAAGATTACATTTGCTGTATGCGGAAGATATATGTTGGATGACGGATAGCTAGGAGGTCTTTCTATGCTATTTCTAAAGGCTTCATGGCCAAGCAGATAAAAAGTTGCCTTTTCTGTTTGTAGGAAAGGTTATCTTTCAAAACATACCCTACACAAATCAAGCAATGTTTATATGAACACCTCTTTAGTTTTATTTATTTTATGATACAAAAACCATTTCCTTTGATCAGTCATATTTCAATGAACTACAAACTGTTCACTGTTAGTGATGGTTCTAGGACTTGAATGAGCAGTAAAATGCCATTAAAGCTTTCATCAGACCTTAAACTGCAACAGGAACCCTATTTAATCTGAGGAGAAATGGGCCATATTGGTGATATAGGACCCAAGTCACTTAAGTACATGTTTAACTTTTGGTCAACAAGCCAATGAAATCCCAAAATATTATATAGTAGCTTTATTTGTCCTCTTTAGAAATAAATTCAACAATGCCTTTTTTATCATCATCATCATCACTATTATTTTCATGTTTTTCCATGAAACACATTTATTTTTTCTGACTCAAACGATAATAAACTCAGAGCTAAGATATTCTGACAGCATCTAGTCTTTTCTAGCATGGGCTACAGCTAAGTTAACATTAATATAAATATGTAAGGATTTTAGCAGCAAGCAAAAGAAGTTTCCTGGAATAGTGTTAAAGGTGTCTAAAGTTTCAACAAAACCAAGCTAGACTTTCATGCTGGTAACCAGACCTTTAAAGCAGAAATTAAATTCCAGAGCCCTCTGCCCCTCAAAGTAGCTTAGTCCTTATGAAACACAAAAAGACAGAGAAGAAGAAAGATCTTACTTATTATAGGCATAATCAAGCTGCCTTACTTTCTAGTTATTTATTTTTCTTAAAATGTCTTGGGACTTGTGCATCATTATCTTCAGTGAACATCTTTAGTAAACAGGGAGTTTAAGTGTATTTGTGTTGTTCTGGCTTGTTGCAGTTGTTGACCTGATTGGATCACATGCTGCTTTGATCATTTAAAAGTATGGAGGTTTTACAGATAAATGTTCTGGAATGGTTTGCAAAAGCAAACTAAAAAGAAAGAAGTACTTGTTCTGTTTGTTTTCTTCCTAATTCATCAGAGTTTTAAAGCATCTTAGAGGTAAAAAAGGTCCCCACCACAAACTATCACTTGGCTTTGAACATTTATATTTAATCATTTCCATCTTATAAAAAATGAAATATTCCTGGTGATAAAGTTTCTGAGGTTCATTTGAAAAGGTAGTTGGGCATATCACCCTCCCCCATGGTTCCTAAAACATAAAAGATCTAATCTTGAGCTATTAATTAGGCCTATGTGAAGCAGCTAGTATTCATTTTGGATTTGAATTCGGCCAATTTGAGGGACAGTGATTTGATTTGGTGATTCTAATCACTGTCCTGAATTGATTCAGCCAAATCTGATTCAGGGATTCAGCTGCTGCCAAATCAGCTGAATCTCCTAATCCAACAGGCCCCATCCCCCTCCCACTCTCACAGCTGCGTCAATGGCTGCCTCACCTGGCCCCAGCATCCCAGCTCTTTAAAAAAAAAAGCCCAGCACTCACTAGTTAGCTGCCAGGCGGGTGGACGATCCCCACTGTCCCGTACTGCTCCATGCTGCATGGGGGGCTCTATCATGAGTCCCCATCCCCCACCTGCTCTTCCAGCCCCAGCTCACAACTCTTTAACAAAGAAAAAAGCCCCCACTCACCAGCTCCTTCCAGGAGAGGGGGTGAACCCTGCTGCCCCCCATTGCCCTGCGCTGCATGGGAGGGTTGTCCCATGAGCCCCCACAAGGCCTGATGGCAGGAGCCGGTGAGTGTGGGGCTTTTTTTTTTTAAGAGCTGGGACTCTGGGGCCGGGCAGCGCAGCCATTGACAGGGCTGGAAAAGCAGGTGGGGGATGGGGGCTCATGGCAGAGTCCCCACCCATGCAGCGCAGGGTAGTGGGGGGCAGCAGGGATTGACACCCACCTGTCAGGAGCTGGTGAGTGGGTTTTTTTTGTTTTTTTAAAGAACTGGAAGTGGGAGCCAGGCAGGGCAGCCATGGGGTGGGGCAGGGGTCGGGTGTCACTTGGGGAGGCTGGGGGAGCAGGCAGGGGATGGGGCCTGGCAGGGGTCCCCCCATGGTCCCCTCCCCTCTCCTTCAGCCACCCCCCCCCCTTGCCCCTACTTACCAGCTTGGAGTCCAGATCCAGCTCCCTGCGGCGGCAAGTGGGGACTGCCTGAATCTCCAAAGTTGTCTGAACCTTTTCTGAATCAACTCAGACCTTTTTATTGGTCTCCTGATTCAATTTGGATTCAGAGATTCAGCTGCTGAATCGGACCAAATCTCCTCCGAATCGAATTAACACCCAAAGCTTCGCACAGCCTTACTATTAATTGGTGGACATTTTGCTGTTAGTACAGGATGAAGTCATTATGTGACTCAGACAAACAGACAAGATTGGTGTCTTTTGTTGCATGACAATGCCAGTTTGCTCTGTTGGCTTGAGTTCATCAGCTGCAGCGACTGGAATGTGTGACCCCTTAGCACTGCATGAGATTCTGAACAAGAATAAAAATATCTCATAGAAAAAGAGTCATCCTGTTGAGGGTACCAGCATAAAAATAGTATGTTAGTACATAATTTCATCTCCATGTTCTTTGATCATCCTAAAAGGTTGGCATTAAATACTTTACAAGTACTCAGTATGTCACTGTTTCTTTGCAAAATTTTCTAATTATTACCCATCATTTTTTTATTCTCTAGGCTATGTTTTCTGAGAGACTCCTGTGCCAGTCTCTGTATACCAGCTTGCAAAACCTGTCCTTTGCATATACAAAGAGACACCTGTACTTTCGCTTACCCATTTTGCTGTTTAAATGTTCATTGTGAATGTAAATCTATGTATACAAATGCATAGATGTATAAGTTAGGATAGTCTTTGACAAGTGAATATAATAACTGATTTAGGAATTTCTTCAGTTGTAGATAGATATGGAATAAGTACACAGTTAGGGTTTTTTAAGTCATACAGCAATCTAGTAAGGAAGGAAACCTTGGTCTCTTGACTAGTATTTTCTCATTCTGACTACTAGATCTGTCCAATACTGAGCTAAACATATCATATCATACACTTCATAGCTCTATGTGATGCAAAATGAAGTCATACCCTCTAAAATTAAACTATATAGTACTAAATGGCATGATGTTATACTTCAAACTCAAGTTTTTAATGGAAAATTGCCCTAAAATCCACATTGATTCATTCTTGAA